AAAGGGAGCCTTTTTCATGGCATTAAATGAGCACATTAAAGATGAGCTCGCAACCCTCGACGAACCAGCTACCCTAGAGGATCTAATTCGTCTCTCCATTAGACTGGATAATAGAATTCGTGCCAGAAACAGTTCAAGAAAGCAGGGGACACTTTCTTCTGCCTCACATAACGTGACTGTTTGTTCTTCCTCTACAGAGCAGCTGCCCATACAGAGACCTAAGTCCCAGTCTCTACCGCTGCCTATTCAGGCCTCTCATTCGGGCGAAAGAGATGTCGAACCCATGCAGGTGGGACACACGAGGCTCACCCCAGAGGAGAGACAAAGACGTTTTCTAAGCAAATTATGCATTTACTGTGGTGAGAGTGGACACTTCATCCCTTCCTGCCCGGCTAAATCAAAAGCCTGGGCCCGCCAGAGGATCTGAGGAGTCTGGCGGGCCAAATTAACAGTAAGAAATCTCCTCGATTGTTGCTTCCCGCCACGTTGTTTTGTTCTAACCAAAGCCTCTCCTTTTCTGCATTCATCGATTCAGGCTGTGAACGGAACTTAATCGATTCAAACCTCGTCCAACAACTCCAAATTGAAACCATTGCTCTGACTCAACCTCTTAGTGTTTCTGCAATTGACGGAAAGAGACTTCACCAAGTAACCCATCAAACTCAGCCCCTCGAGCTACTTCTGTCAGGTAACCACCGAGAGACTATAACATTCTTTGTTTTTCCTTCTGCATGCATCCGCTGAGCTTGGCTTCGAGTGGTTGGAGAAGCATAATCCTCACATTAATTGGACAGAACGTCACCTGGAATCATGGTCCATTGCATGCCATGAGACATGCCTCCGTTCGGCTGCCCCCTTGGTGGGGTCTCCTAGAGGTGGGGGGGAGATGGACTCTCCTGACCTTTCTTCTGTTCCTTCCGAGTACCATGACCTAGCTCCCGTCTTCAGTAAGGTCAGTGCGACGTCCCTACCTCAACACAGACCATACGACTGCGCCATTGAACTTTTACCTGGTGCACCACTACCTAGCAGCAGGTTGTATAACATTTCCAAGCCTGAAAGAGAAACCATGGAAAAATACATAAATGAATCATTAGCTGCAGGAATAATCCGTCCATCTTCCTCTCCTTTGGGCGCTGGGTTTTTCTTTGTTGGAAAGAAGGATGGCTCCCTGAGACCATGTATTGATTACCGAGGTTTGAACCAGATCACAATAAAAAACAAATACCCACTTCCTTTACTCGCCTCTGCATTCGAACCTGTACAGGGAGCTACAGTTTTCTCTAAACTGGATTTAAGGAACGCATATCATCTTCTTAGGATCCGAGAAGGAGATGAATGGAAAACAGCCTTCAAAACTCCATTGGGCCAATTTGAGTACTTGGTAAAGCCTTTTGGTCTAACTAACGCCCCAGCCTGCTTCCAGGCCCTCGTGAATGATGTTCTCAGAGACTTTTTAACTGTGTTTGTCTTCGTTTATATTGACGACATACTCATTTACTCCAGGAACCTCGCTGAACACAAGAAACATGTCCGCCTTGTTTTACAGAGACTGCTGGAGAACAAGCTGTTCGTAAAGGCAGAGAAGTGCGAATTTCATCAGTCTTCAGTCACCTTTTTGGGGTTTGTGCTCGAGGGCGGCCAGGTAAAACCATCTGAGGACAAGTTAAAGGCAGTTTTAGATTGGCCAGTTCCAGAGAACCGCAAACAGCTACAGAGATTTCTAGGCTTTGCAAACTTTTATCGTCGGTTCATCAGGAACTACAGCCAGACCGCCCTTCCATTAACTTCTCTGACCTCTGTCAAACGCACTTTTCAGTGGACCCCTGAGGCGCAAGCTGCGTTTGATAAACAGAAATCTTTATTTTCCAGAGCACCAGTGCTTATGCAGCCTGACCCAGCTAAACAGTTTATCCTCGAGGTGGACGCTTCAGATTCTGGAGTTGGAGCAGTCCTATCCCAGAGACTTGACACGGATCAAAAGATCCACCCTTGTGCATTCTTCTCCCGTAGACTTTCTTCCGCTGAGCAGAATTACGATGTGGGAGACCGAGAGCTGTTGGCCATCAAACTAGCGCTGGAGGAATGGAGACATTGCCTGGAGGGAGCTGAGCATCCGGTTCTAGTATGGACTGACCACAAGAACCTGGCTTACATCCAGTCAACCAAGCAAGCCAATCCTCGTCAATCCAGGTGGTCCATTTTCTTCTCTCGGTTTAATCTCATCATCTCCTACAGACCCGGATCCAAGAATGTCAAACCCGATTCTCTCTCTCGTCTTTACTCCGTCGATCATCCTGAGACGCCTGAACCAGTCCTTCCGGCTTCCTGCACTGTGGGAGTGGTTAACTGGGAAATCACTGACCTTATCAACTCCGCCCTGGCTACTGAACCAGACCCAGGTAACGGTCCCACTAACCGAACCTATGTACCATCTTCCGTCAGGTCCCGTCTCATTCAATGGATGCACGCTGCCAAGTTTTCTGCTCATCCGGGAGTTAGTAGAACCAGAGCTTTGATCTCAAGACGCTTCTGGTGGCCCACCCTCCATAGAGATGTCAAGGAGTATGTGCTGGCTTGCTCCACATGTGCCCGTAATAAGGCCTCACACCAACCTCCTTCTGGCCTGCTTCAGCCGCTTCCGGTTCCCTCGCGCCCTTGGTCCCATATTGCAATTGACTTTGTCACCGGAAGCGGCTGAAGCAGGCCAGAAGGAGGTTGGTGTGAGGCCTTATTACGGGCACATGTGGAGCAAGCCAGCACATACTCCTTGACATCTCTATGGAGGGTGGGCCACCAGAAGCGTCTTGAGATCAAGGCGATGGTTCTACTGACTCCCGGGTGAGCAGAAAACTTGGCAGCGTGCATCCATTGAATGAGACGGGACCTGACGGAAGATGGTACATAGGTTCGGTTAATGGGACCGTTACCTGGGTCGGGTTCAGTAGCCAGGGCGGAGTTGATAAGGTCAGTGATTTCCCAGGAGATCCTCTCGGACC